AACAATGTACAGAGCCTTGAGTAGATTGGAGGAAACATGGACTATAAATGTAACTGGCAAATGCAACAATAATCAGGTTTCTCTCTTTTTCCCTTACACACATGGGTGAGACCTTAATTTCCAGCAGTCTGGTCCTCATGGGTGGAGAGACACAAGTTCCTCATACTTAATAAGTAATGTATGGATGCGCAGCCCCAGAAAAGAGGCTGTGCTAGTCTCGAAGAAAGACTCCAGCAAAGGAAGGCTAACTTGAGACAAGCTTTTTGAAACAGCAATGGGGTGTGAAATTGTATCTCAGTGTCGTAATTTAATTCATGGGAAACATTTTTTTTAAAAAAACCCTCTAATCAATAATCAATAATTTTATTAAAATGCTGGGAATAATTAACGAATAATTTACTCTAATTTTATGGTCATGAGATCTGTATTTTAAAGACCAGTGATCTCGTAGCATCTTCAGTAAACCTAAACATACTTTAAATTCCAAGATTTAATGCAATGGAAAGTGTGGTCGTGGTCACAAGCATATGTTTTATGTCCTTTTCTCTAGATTTCTAATGTCACTCGATCACTGCTTAATGGCCTTTGATGGCTGGTGGCTATTCCAAATCATTGGAATGAGAAGTGCATGCATCCTGCTTGGCAGGGGGCTGACAGAAACAATTTGTCAGTTTGCATTTAAGCAGAGGGGGGAAAAACACTGTTGAATTTTTCAGCAGACTTGCAAGAACCAGATGCCTGTGATTTTCAGACCATGTTTTTGTTTTGTGCTTGAAATAAACAATTATCAAATGGTATAAATTAAACCTAAACTTCCAGTGCAGATAGATAGTGCTATTACATGCAGGTGAGTGAGCAACACAGTTCATTCAGTGGGGCTGTCAAGTTAATGGCTAGAGCAACAACTATTCCTTTAAAAAAATCGTTCCACAGAAAAAGTGGAGAGCATGTCATAATAACATGAGTCCATTTTTCTCTATAAGCAACAGAGAAATATACGGTACATCTTTTTAAAAGGTCTTCTAGACACAGAGTAGAACTGAACAACAGAAACTGATGATCATATTTCCATGTCCTATTTATGTATCTATTTATTCAATACAAAAATTTGCGTAAATAAATTGTTTTATCTCCAGCTCACAAACTGAAGTCCATTCTATAGATCTTCAACACAATATCTCCTAATTATGTCTCTGCATGGACCTGGCCACAGTTCTGTGAAGTTAAGATGATACCAGGGCAGAGGAAGGGGACAACTAAGAACCTCTAATGGAGAATTCCCAGCACGTTCTTCCAGCTACAGTATAGCTTTCGGGTTCTTTGATGTAATATAAATAAATTTATATTTATTTATAAATATAAATGTGTAGTACAGATAGAGAGGACCAGTTTGTGTAGAAATCCAGCTAGACTATTTGCATAGTGGCTCACTTTTAAAGTTTAATAGTCCCCCTACTAAAAAACCAACTTGTCTGGAGATTTTAAGTAGAATATTTATTATACAACTGGAGACTTTCCATAAGCAAAGGTCAGAGTGTGTCGCCTCAAAACCTATCATGGCATATTCCAGTATTGTTTGTCTGATGCAAAGTGTTCTACTAGCTGGAGCAGCAAAACACTAACCAATTAGTAATCTTAAGGTTAAGATATTTCTCTTGACCTGCCTTCCCCAATTTAATACCCTCCAGAGATTTTAAACTGTAACCCTTATCATCACTGTTAGCGAGGATGCATGAAAATCAGATTGGAGAACACTGCTTTAGATCCATTAGCGTTGAGTATGAATAATTTAAATCAATGTACATTTTTTTTACTGCTGGAAAGACTCCATACTATGAATGAGGAACTTTGTGGCAGGCGTCTATTGTAGGTTGTAGTTCCCTCTCATGTATTTGATATAAATGTTTGCTTGAAAAAGCTGTCTGTCCGTGGATGTTTTGTTAGACTTCTAAAGCGAAGTATGGCACATCTGTTATGAATAATGTTAACAATTACTGAGCCACTTTTTAAATAGTTATGATTTAGGAATTTTATTTGAAACATTGTAAAGTGTATCACAGTGTATAAAAGGTATGGATACATTCTAAACAAATAATAAATAGCATGAATTCAAGAAAACTGTGATGTTCACAATTCTACCAGTTACAATCATAATCTGGTTCACTGTTATGCAACCTCAGATCTTGCGTTTCAGGGGCTTTATGCACATCTAACCCTCTGTGTACTGCATGCTTAATATATTTCATAAATGTGTTTTTCGACAGAAGCAAGCCAAGGTGTGAGTGTTGTAATAAATAACTCAGAAAACTAAGCAGAGCAGAGGAAACACAACATTGTCTCCTGCAAATCACTCTTGCCTGCAGCCCTTGACACTGCTCTGTTGTGACAGTTGTGGGCTGACTTCAAAACTTATGGCAACTTCTTTTGGTTTCATTAGTTGCATCTGTTTCCTCCAGACTCAAACAGAGGGAAAACCATTGCTCAGTGGTTAAAGCCAATTATCTCCAATCACCATTCCATGAGTTATATGCGATATCTCAAGACATCACTTAGCATCTAAGTAAAGTCGTAGGCCAGGGATAGTGAATCCGTATGGAGAGGGGTTATTCATGCGATTGTTCAAGAAACAGAAGTCGGACTAGAAATCATTCAATGATCTGCCAGTAGTTCTTGATCTCTTTCATGCCTGCTTCTACTGTAGAACATCCTCTGCTAGAATTTGTACATACGATTAGGAACAGGTTTTTGAATCTGTTTTTTAGCATGAAGTCCTACATAGTGTTGTCCTTCTGAAACCCCTCAATTCATTTTCTGCTTTGCTGCATTTCTTTGTCCAATTCCAAGTTTGCTCTTCCCCCTCCCCCAAAGGATTCTAGTGCCTGCACCCAAAAGTGGGGATGACATTGCACTTTAGCACTTCCCCTAAGGGAGAAAGTGAAGGTGCTGGGCGACAAGTGGCAGAAGCAGAGATAATGCAGCTGAAGCAGCTGGTGGAAGGCAGAGCTTGTGGCAAAAAAAAGAACCATTCTGTGCTAAGAGGTTCTAGGCAGGAGGAAGGCGTAATTGAAAGAGAAAGCAGACAGATAACTTTGGATGACCTGCAGCAGCCACTCCAAGACAGATGAAACAGAGAAGCATCCTGATGATGGGTCACCCACTATCAGGACACAACACCCACTACATCCCAGGAACTGTCAACATAAAAGAACCCCAAGGCAAGTAAGGAAAAACAACATTTGGACCCGGGTTTTTTCTGTAGTGGCACCCCCCACTGTGGAATAAACTTCCAGCTGAAATTAGGCATGCCCTCTCCCTATAGATCTTTAAAAGGTCAGTAAAAACTGAATTATTCAAGGAGACCTTTGGCAACAACCCAGATTGATTTTTGAGACCTGTATTCTATTGCAGTTATTGATTATTTTATTCTATTACTGGACATTTTGATTTACTATGTTATGGTTTATATCATTTGGTTCACCTAAGTCACCAGGTGGCAATCCTTGGCCACCTTCCTGTTTTTATATGTTTGTAGTATTATCTATGACTTCTTTTAACGGGGAGGGGGGGTTCTAGAAGCTCAACAAACAAATAAAAGGGAGAACTAAAGGTACAAATACCTGCCTGTAAGAGTCCTTTGTTTGGGAAGAAGGAACAGGCCACTGGCCAAGCAAATCTGGGGCTCCTTTTCAGCTGCAAATACTGTATAAACTTAGCAGCTGTTGAATCATCTGCAGTTTGTTTGCTTGAATGCTCACTAATAGTCAAGGATGAGCAATATTTCCTCAGTAGGAGCTAATGGCTGAAGATGATTTAGAAGTGGGACATCTCAAATCAGCATTTGCTCTCTCTCTCTCTCTCTCTCTCTCTCTGTGTGTGTGTGTGTGTGTGTGTGTGTGTGTGTGTGTGTGTGTGTGTGAGAGAGAGAGAGAGAGAGAGAGAGAGAGAATGAATTTTGAATTTGGGCACAAAGTGAGAGATTAGTGATTTCTAGGCATTGACTGATACTGAAGGATCCTGGGGTGCTTTTTCTAAAGACACTTTGGAACTCCCAATTGTATAGGGAGATAAGGTATCTTTTAAATTGCAAAACCACAGATACTCAGAAAATATTTGACATGATCACTCTACAGTGTTTGTGAATGTATTCTGCACTTAGGCATTGCTTGCTATGAACTGAGGATTCACAGTATGTAAAAACATAAGAGTCCTGCTGGATCAGATGAAAGGCCTATCACGTCCACCATTCTGCTTGCATTGTGGTCAATCTAAAAGCAAAATGTGCTGCTTATACACCACCCCATAGTGCTTAAAGCACTCTCTGGGCGGTTTACAATTTAAAAGACCCCCCCCCCTCTCTCTCACACACACACACTTTAAGATGGCCACCTGAGCTGATCAGGATCAAACTCATGCCATGAACAGAGTCTTGAATGCAGTACTGCAGTTTAATCACTACACCACAAGGCTTCTAGATGCCGATGGGAAGTCTGCCATGAGTGTAACTGTACCCTCCCTGCAGTGTAAAAGTTCCTCAGCAAATCAGGATCAAAACACATCTTCTGAGAAATCTGTTCCTTGAAAGAGTGCTCTCTCAAGTGGTAAAAAAAAGTAGAATTGTGAAAATACATTTAAAAATGGGAAATGTGTTATGGATTGTCTCTGGAATGTAAACAACAACTTTCTTTGCACATGCAATTATAGAGTCATGAATAGAGATGGAGGTATTCATATTCATATACAAATACGAATATCCCCACACTGGTGGAAATGATGACTGTCCACTCACGATTTCGCCACTTCTGCCGGCTCCATGGAAGCTTCCCATTGCGCTGTTCTCCACAATGGATTAGCCACTCTCCGACCTAGCAGAGAGGCTTGTCATCCTGCCTCCTGCCAGGAGTGGGTAATCGCTTGTGGACAACAGCACAATAGGAAACCTCTTCAGAGCCAGTGGCAGTGGTTAAATTGTGAGTGCCTCGTTATTTCCATCTGTGCGGAGATATTCATATACAAATACGAATACACCCATCTCTAGTCATGAATAGTAAAGCAGACCACATTGCTTGGAAGGTAATAGTAGGAAAGATGTATTTCTCTGAATGTGTATTTTGGCCCCAAGTCAACGTAGAAGGTGCTCCCTGAGAGTGAACAATTTGAAAACCAGTGGCTTAATGTGGCTTTCTTAACCTTGTCTGACATCCTCCAAATGCATTAGACTAATTCTCATAATCCTCAACCAGCACAGCCTCTGCATTGGTTAAAGATTATGGGAATTTCAGTCCAAAACAGCACAGTATGCTATCTTGTTGGCAGATAAGGAAGAAAATATTAGCTGAGGTGAGAAACTGACATTCTGTAATAGGTGGGGTACCTTTGACCTTCCATGTATTGATAGACTATTATTCCCATTTTACCTCATCCTTGGGCAGGCTATCTAGGGTTGATGGGAACTGAAATTCAACAACCACAACTTCACAAACTCTGTTCTATAGCCTACTGCAAGTGGGTGGTTTGAATATAACATTAGAAAATATTTGAGAGCACAAGCAAAGCTTTAGAGACGGAATAGATAAAAGCCAGTCTTAGATAACCAGCAGGTTATGTGTCTGCTATCAGTGGCTGTAGAAATAATCCTGCAGTCCCAAATACACAGATAAAGATGAACACCCACAGGAACACTCTGTCAATGACCATGGCAACGTATTTCCAGTCATCTTCCACCTGCAACACACAAGAAGAGACACAGTACTGAAGGTACTAGAGATGCTGTGGATTCAAATATTATATGCAACACAACAAATAAACACATAAAATATTGACACTGTTGTTTTTACTCATTATATTATAACCCTGTAGAATTGCAAAGTCTAGGGTAGGATGCTCAACATGCAAAAGAACAGTTGACCTAGACTTTAAAGCTAACAGACGTACTGTGTGATACATTTGACAAGTGACAGCTGGCTAACACTTTGTGGTCTACACCAAAAGGCCTACTGCCAAGACATATCGATTCACCCATGCTTATCTCTGTAGCTGGACATTGGGATAGAATTCCTCCGGGGCCCACATTGGCCTGCAGGTCGCAAGCTGCTGACCCCTGTCTTAAAACGTTTGTTACTTATTTGTCAGAATTTTTCTTGTGAGGAAGATATTTCAGTAAGGGCAGCTTTCTCCTCCTGTGTATAGCTGTCCTCCAATATTTCAGCTATCTTCTTGCAAAGAATGCAGTCATGTATAGTGATTTTTTTTTAAAGCTACTCACTGCATGGGGCAAAATGGCCCTCTTTTATAAAGAAGGAGCCCTTTCAAGTACTCTACTATATCAGAGATCCCCATTCTCTTGCATCTCATGTGCTAAAACTTACATATTATAATGGTTGAATTGTACTTGGCCCTAAAGCTGAACTTCAGCTCTTGGTATTCTTTCAAGATCATTCTTACACTCCGAGGTGTCAGTATAGCTATTTGGAATTCAGTAGAGTTGAACTGACTGAGCACCATCCTGAGATCAGGGATGAGGTTCCTCTTGAACTCCTAAATACTGTAGGCGCTTAGTGTTTTCATGCCAACACTGTTGCTCTTAGCGCTAGCACAATTGCTGAGTATCATTCTGAAAGCGGTAATTTGCTCCATTTACTTGTAGACTCAGCCCCACAAAATATTATTTAATGAGCAAAATGCCCACAAAATGATGACAATAGACACGAAGAAGCTTTTTTTTTTTTTTTAATTGCTGGTCACAACCTTTTGCCCCACTTCATTTTTGATTTTCTGCTTCCAGACAGGATCAGCATTGGGGATCGGTTATTAACAGACACTTATCGAGGCCCTTGCGCTATCAGACACTGGCGTAAGGCCAGCTCCACAATTAGGCTCAGTGAGGTAGCTACCTCAGGTGGCAAGCTGTGACACCCCCCTTGGACCCACTGTCCCCCCTCACCTCCTTCTCCCATCCATCCCCTGTGCCAATTTGGCCTCCTTGTTTTCCAATATGGCTATGTGCATGCTGTAATCAGACTGAACAAGCTACTTGGGTGAGTAGCGAAACGTTTCAAATTAATAAGGAAGAAGTCCAGTTGCCATGACTCAACTTCCAGATAACCTCACCTGGATGACTGAGAATCTTCACAGATATTCTGCATAGTAGTGTACACGGGATACCAGAGATGGCACCACCAACTAGGGTTGGCTCTTAGATAACAGCCCCATCTGCTCAGGAAAGGCATTTGTTAGAAAGAAAAGGCTTACAACGCAGCCTCCTTGGATGGGCCTGTCAGTCCAAGATTGGGGGTGCTGCATAGATCCTGTGGAAACAAGAAGCTGTGTGGGGGCAGCTAAAGGGAGAAAATATTCCTTCTAGGGCTCCTGTTGCAAATAAGAGCCCTTGGAATCAGAGAACCCATATGCAAACTGGGCGGAAGAAAGAGGATGAAGCTGCTTTGGCAAACTTTGGTGCCAGAATACCCTTGGGCAATTTTCTTTTTAAAACTGGAAAGCTTTCCAGCTGTGTAGAATTATTGTAAAATAGCTCTCTCACCCTGGTATTCTTGATCTCTGAGGTATGCCCTTCTTTTGTACTGAAACTGTAGGGAGTTCTCTTTGCTGAGAAGAACTGCATTATTTACATTCCAACAGATCTTGCAGAATCCTACCAAGATGAACCATCTTGGTTTATCACATTCCCTATTAGCTCCAAGAGACATCAAGCACAGATCATGTCTTGTCAAAATGCACAATGCAGATGGGAAATGGTGAGAATGAGAAGAAAACATCTGCAGAAGATCTCAGGTTCAATCCTGGCTTCTCCACCAAAAAAAGGACTTAAGATGACACAGCCGTGCAAGGCCTCCATTGAAGACCTACAGGACCTTCTAACAATTTTGAGCAGGATGGGCAACTTGTCTCACTCAATTTAATGTTGCTTCGTATGTTCAGCACCTGCCTCAGGCTTATGCCACTACAGAAAGCAACATGGTACAATATTTGTGACCAGTGGGAACCAATCAATGCAAACTCCCCTTAATCCATCTCCAGCATTTACTGGTAGAAAGCCTATGCCCAATGTTGCACCGATGCAGCTACTTCTAATGAAGCTGAAAGATGTTGTTCAGGCAGACACAGGTAGTCTTTATGTCACAGGCATATACCACTAATACACATCCATCCATACCTTAGTTAAGTTCCAGTCCTGGACTACAACTCTCAGAACCCCCACAGCTAAGGGATTGGGGCAACCGTATTCCAAAATTTAATTTTTCCAAACCCCACATAACAGTGTACAAATGGTACCATGGATAGCATTACTAGCTGTGGTAGAACCTTCTGTCACAGTTGGCACAAATGCCCCAAACTCTAGAAACACATTGAGTTATGACTCAGTAATCCCCTCTCCTTTTCAAATTAATTGTCAGGCACAAAATGTCTTAGATCTCTCTTTGGCTTACCTCTTTTGTCTGATTCTGAGTCCTCATGTTTTCTGCAATGAACTGAACACTGTTAATGACCTCCTTGACCTCTGGGGAATATTCAAGTTGCTCAGCTGCCCATTTTGCAGACTGTTGGCTTAGCCTCCTTTTCTTACTCACTGCAGGTTCACTGTCACAGTGGCAGCACCTGTGTTCACGGGGGACTTTTGCTTCTTCAGAGTCATCTGCTTTTTTCTTACCGGATTTAGTAGCTCCAGCCTTTTGGGGTTTTTTAGGTTGGGTTTCGATGCACTTCTGTATGGGTCTCTTCATCATCAGAACTTTAGGCAGAAGACGGAGGAAGACAGTTTTGACCCACATAGGCATTGAGTGAGTCGTCGGAGTCCTGTAATGGATGTTCAGCACAAACACGGTGACGACAATAGAGAGAGTCACAAATATCATGGTGAACAGCAGGTATTCTCCCACGAGGGGGATTACCAATGAGGTGGAGGGAATTGTCTCTGTGATTACCAACAGGAAAACAGTCAAAGAAAGTAGGACAGAGATACACAGAGTCACTTTTTCTCCACAGTCAGATGGAAGGTAAAAAACTAATACCGTCAGAAATGAAATGAACAGGCAGGGGATGATCAGATTAATGGTGTAAAACATTGGCAGCCTTCGGATATAAAAGGAGTAGGTTATATCTGTATAGATCTCCTCACAACAGTTGTACTTGATGTCATGCTTATAGCCAGAAGCATCAATTATCTCCCATTCACTGTTTTCCCAAAAATCATTCATATCCACTTTAGAACCAATAATCAGAAGGTCAATTTTAGCTTTGTCGTAAGTCCATGATCCAAATTTTAGGGAACAGTTCTGGTGATCAAAAGGGAAGAATGTAATATCCATGGGGCAGGAGCTTTTAAAGATGGCAGGTGGTGTCCACGTGATGGTCCCATCGTATTTGAGAAGAGCTTTCGTCCGTCCTTCAACCTGGAAATCTCCAACAGCACTAGAAATAAATAAATAAAAAAACAAGGATGTCTTAGGTTTTTCTGTGCAACACAAGTGCAGAAACAGCTATTCAATGTGCCTTTCAGTGATCAACAATGAGAAATCGTACTTGTTGTATAGAACAATATCAGGTTTCCAAATTTTATCTGCTGGCACCCGAACAAACTCAATTCCTTCATATTCCATTGGGTTCCACCGCAGTTTATAGTCATTCCAAATCTAAAAAAAGAGAGAGTATGGGTGTTTGGACCTTAAAACATTCATCATGAGTCTACAACTTGATTCTCATGGCCATCTTACAAAAAATAGTTCATTCTTCTCCCCAAACCAATATGTCTGATGAAACTAGGTGTGGGCTTGAAAGCTATTCTTCTTGTAGTGACGAATTATTGTGCTTTTAAAAAGTGCACTTAATGCTACTATTTTTCTTCTGGTAGACAAAGACCTTTGAGAGTGTTCAGAGCTGATGAGCTGCAAAGCACACATTTGCTGTCTCCCTGATGAAAATCATCTCCTCTGGCTGCTACTTGCTCTCAAACGTACTGTATTGTTTCTAATCCACCTGAGCAGGAGGTTCAATGTTCTGTTTCCTTGTAATGGTGAACTTTAGTCTGTTCTCAATAAACCTTTGCAGCTAAAGAACCATGGGCTGAAATCCTGTTACTCAGCATAATAAGTCACAACTAGAGTAGGCTAATTGAATCAGCAGGGATTTGGTGAGTGAACTCCTCTGTAAGTTCCACTGATTCACTGGGCCTACTCTAGTTGCAACTTACAACACTAAGCAACAGGATTTCAGTGATCACATATTTAGAACTTGCTTTTATCCGGTAATAGAGAAAGATCCTATTCCTGGAAGCCTTGAGTGCTGACAAGAAATATTGCCTTACTGCAGCCGTATCAGGGCCATGTAAGACATAATAAGTAACAAATATGTGTTCATCAAGATGTGAAGTGGAGAACTAACAATTTGTGGGAAGCAACCAGGAGAAAAAAATCTTGGGCATGACAGATAAAATCCAGTGGTAAGTCACAACTAGAGTAGCTCACCGAGTCTTTAGAAATTGCTCCCTTTATTCTCACTGATGCAATGGTTCTTCTTTAGTTGTGATTTCAGCCAGTTTGTATCGAGTCTTTAGAAATTACTCCCTTTATCCTCACTGATGCAATGGTTCTTTAGTTGTGATTTCAGCCAGTTTGTATGATACAGCAGTCATCGCTAGATATATCGCTACTTCTTTTTACTAGGGTCCCTTTTGGATCCTGTTCCAATCATAACTACATCCGAAAGACCCTAGTGCACAAAGATCCACTTACATGTCGCAGCCAGAGGTTGGTTTCCATAATCTGGTTGACTTCATCCTAGAGACAGAAAGAAGCAAATGTCACAGAGCTGAGGAACGCAACCTTCATGAGTACAGACTGTATATGTCAGCCTTCTACAAGGTGATGTCCTCCCCAAGGGCTGGAGTACAACTCCTATAATCCTGTAGTAAGATATGGTTTTGGGAGTTGTAGGTCCATCTCTTCTAGAAGACACCAGGTCAGAAAAATGCTGTTATGAACAGTGGAGGATGGGAGAAAAATATCCAGTTTGTATGGACCATTCTCACTACAAATAAAAACCATGAATGCAACTGGCCTGGATAGCTTTTGGGGAAGATGGGGAGGCACATTTGTGAAGGAGAGGTCTGTCAGCGGTAACTAGCTGTTTCTGAATACCGGATGGTGACTACAACTAGGGAAAGATGTTGGCGTTTAGGCCCAGATGTGTATACGTCTAAAAGAAATAGAGTGCTGGTCTAGATGAACTTTTAGTCTGACAGGGGAGAGGAGTGTAATTCTGACATTCTTACAATGTGTTATAGTTTCTAATATATACCCCTGCACACATAATCCTCTCTGCTCAATTGATCCACTTCAAAAGTTGTTACCTGAATTCTGTAAGCCAGACATAAGTGCGTTCAGGATTCACAAATGCAGAGGCAGGATGCAGGTAACTTACGAAACTTCCGTTTTAAGGTCTTATGTTATACAAAACCTATTTCTCAAGAGGCCTGTGCTGTTAATGCTGGAATCATTGCACCCTCATATGTTGCCTGTAAGAGGTTTTGGCAGAGAGGAACCTTTCTGGACTGGGCTGAATGTCAATCATCTGGTAGCAGTTCAATTGTTCACTCCCTGCTTTAGAATTTTGAAGAGAGCCATGCCTCTCTACTCATTTCTTCTTTCCTCACTCTTTTTATTCAGACAATCTGTAGACAGTTAAAGTCAGCCATGTAGTTAAGTCAATTATGCAGCTAGTTAATCAGTTAAGTTCTGTTCATACAACCAGTTAATATTTTTCTACAGAATGCTGTTTGTTTTGATCTATGAGGAACTGTGAGTAAAATGGAAACCTTTTTATTCTTTTTCATACCATATTAGGCAAAAACAAACAAAAAATAAAGAAGACAAAAATGTAGCACCTTAAAGACTAACTGCTATGTTTTAATGTAAGCTTCTGTGGACAAGTCCACTTTCTCAGACTTGTCTATTAAAGCTCATATTAAAATTTAACAGTTAGTCTTTAAGGTGCCACAAAGTTTTTGTCTTCTTTATTTTTATTTTGTTTTTGCCTGATATGCTACTACAGACTGACATGGCCACCTCTTCTAAAGCTTTCTCATACCTGTATCTCTGAGCAAATTATTGATACAACAATTGCCAGATGAGGAGAACTGACCAAATAAAGGGTGGTCTACTACAGGCCGTTTGAAGCTAATTTTGCTCTGTATGTCCCCAAGATCTACTATGGGAGACTTGAAGCTAATTCTTCTGTGTAGATCTCTAAGAGAGACTTCCTTTCTTTCTGCAAGCACTCACAAACTCAGTGTTTTTGGCGGCTTCCCCCATTTTACCCTTTAGGGGGGTGGGGAAGGTTAACCCCTTCCATATTGTCCTTGTTTAGGGAGGTCTTGAACTACTGAAGCTGACTGGATAGCTTAGCCATACGGGGAATTTGCTTCCCCACTGTGCCTGGTAGAAGTGCTAGGCTGTGTAGCCCTTAGAGAGCTGCATGGTTTCAGAGTAGCCTCCACAGGAAAGGAACGGTATACCACTTTTGACTACTGGACACATTGGAAACTCTGGAAATACTCACCATATATTAGAATTCACTTGAGAACATACTATAATTGGCTATTAGAAGAGTTATTTCATGTTGGGTGCTGTTACAGTGGTGCCTTGACTTACAAATGCCCTGACCTACGAACAATTTGACTTACGAACAGCGCCGGCCGCAAAATTTTGCTTTGACTTGCGGCCGGAGCTTTGACCTATGAATAAAAAAAAGGCGGGGAAAGGGGCAGGAAATTCAAAAAGACTAACCATTGGTGGCGAAGAGGCTGCTTCTTTGTAGCTCTTTCTCCCCAACGGTTAGGAAAAGGGATGTGGCGGTGGCAGTGGGGTTCTGGCCGGGAGGCGAGGAACCATCCCAGCTGGGCTCTGGCTCCTGGCACTGGGGTCATTTGCACTGCTCGCTTCCTGGCTGGACTCCGGGAGCCAGATCCTGGCCAGAAGGCAGTGGTGGAAGGCCAGGTGAGCTACCGGATGGCTCCCACTGACGGCAGTCTCGGCAGTGGTGGAGCCCACGCGGCGGCGAAGGAAGGCTGGGAGGCCTCCCGAAACTGCCATCAGTGGGAGCTGTCTGGGAGCTCACCTGGCCTTCCCCTCTGCTACGTGGGCCCTGCCACTGATGAAACCACCCCCCACCACCAAAAACGCCATCCAGGAACTCACCCTGCCTTCCCCTCGGCCACACAGGCCCCACTGCCATGAAAACCACCCTACCGAAACCACTGTCCAGGAACTCACTCTGCCTTCCCCTCTGCCGCACGGGCACCGCTGCCGCCAAAACCACCCCACCGTCACCGAAACTGTCATAGGTGGAAGCCACCTTCCCCGCTGATGGCGTTTACAATGGCGGTGGGGCCCGCATGGCGGAGGAGAAGGCCGGGTGAACTCCCCGACGGCGGTTTCAGCAGCGGTGGGGTGGTTTCAGTGGCGGGGGAGGCCAGGTGAGCTCCTGGATGGCTCCCACTGATGACAGTCTCGGCGGCGGTAAAGCCTGGGCAGCTGAGCATGGCCGGGAGGCTTGAGAGGAGGCTTCTGGTGAGGTCAGGTGTGCTGCTTTTTGCATTTTAAAAACTGTTTTGGGTGGTTTTTGCAGGGTGGGATTGGGCTGGTAGGGTTATTTTTATGTTTAATTTGTTTTGTTTTTTTGCAGCCTCAGGGGCATTATTTTTATATTTATTTATTTTATTTTTTTTTGCAGCCTCAGGGGCTTTGCAGTGTTTTATTTTTATTTATTTTTTGGTTGTTGGTTTTTTTTTTTTAAATGCTGGAACAGATTAATCCCATTCCCATGCATTTCAATGGGAAATGGTGCTTTGACTTATGAACATTTTGACTGACAAACACTATTCCAATATGGATTAAGTTCATAAGTCAAGGCACCGCTGTATTTCAGTTGTTGTTTTTAAATGTGTACTTCAAGTTTGTGTTAATGGGATCATATATTTAATATTGCAATTTATTGTGGATTTTTTTTAGCTGACTTTTAAAATGCATGTTGTAAGATGCCTTGGCTCCTTGAAGGGATTAATGTGGGAGAGCAAACAAACCAATTTGCTGGGAATATCTCCTGCACAATCTTTACTGAAATAAGTGTAGACTGTGCAAGAAAACGCCTGCTGTTTTCGACAGTACTTGTACAGGGGAATTTCCCTGCATGAATTGGACCCATTAAAAACAACGTCCCAAACAGCTAAATTTCTGCTTTACCAGCCATTTATGCTTAGAAAGCATAAAGAAGGAAGTGAAGCGGAATAAGTTAGATGAAGGCTACCTCAGCAAACAAGTAGTGAGCAGATGGTATAAATCACTCTTGTTGTTTAGTAAGTCACTGATTTGAAGGATCCAGGTCCTAGGAACAAATGTGTAATAATCACAAAGTTATAACTCTTATGCAATTTAATATATGCAATGGTGACACAAAGGAAATCATTCTAAAGAGTCACCTTCCAAAAGTATTACTAATCCACAGTACCTGTAAAAATAAATAACTCAGCATCTCTTGTAGATTAATAATAGAATTTATGCAATCTGGTCATCTCATGGAAGTTTTTGCTCACATTTCTTCAGTTATAAAACATAATTCCCTTAATTCCCAGCTCACCAATCTGGGTAGTCCATAACTGAATGTTGAAGGAATAACTCTCTCCTATTATTTCACTTATTTGTAGCTTTCAGTCTCCCTCTCAGTCCTTCACACCTCGTTATCAGAGGGATTGCGAGGACAGGGTGGGAAAGGGCCGCACAGCTGACTTTGCCCATGAGGGTCGTGTTGCCATGACAGCATGGAAAGAAGCCATGGTGGTGACGTACAAAGAGGTCCCCATGAGGGCTGAAATAGCTCAAAACAGTGGGAGTCTGAATATCGGTGCTGCTAATTCCATAAAAACTCCCTGTCCCTTCTGTGACCTATATATAGAGAGTGGATGTAGATAAAAGCTTTTTATAAATACACATTATAATCCAAAGCTTCCCGTGAAGTGTTATGCAAACACGGAGCTTTGTGAATGCAGGGATTGGCTGAACTCTCTTATTGTGGAAGATGGTCAGCTGAGTCTCAGAGTCCCACAGCTGAACATGGGCAACCAGTACACTGCATTGTAGGACTCTGGGAATCGTAGTAAACCCCTGATCCCCAATCTCCTGCGTCTGACACTTATTGGGTAAACTTCTTTTACTTGCCCACATGGACATAACTTGACGTTACGCCTGTATTCAATAGAAAAGTGCCAGGGTGAGAGTGCTATGTACATACATTCACAGCTCTGCAGAAGAGAAAAGGGAAATCCTCCAGTGCACAGAGCATTCTATCCACTTTAGAATATCTCTCTCTGTGTGCTGGATCATGAACTCATGGGCATATTTTTCTATGGCAGCAGGGATTCTGGACAGTGTAATACCTAAATATCTGCATAAACTTGCCAATTGAACCTTACCACATTTGCAAGCTGTGTAATAGCCACTTCAAAGTGCACTGTAACAGGATCAGAGACATTTTCCACAGGTCTGATGTACTGGTTGTAACGGGAGAAGAGTTTGTGAAACAACCTTTCTTCAGATTTACATGCCAAACAATCTAGGGATAGGGGGAAGACAAGGAAAGAGAAGCTGTCACTGAAGTAAGCATTACATAATTGAAGACACTATACACCTTTTAAAAAAATATATCCATGCAATAATGGTAAATTATCGATGTTAATTTATTCATACTTGTTGAATAACAGCCCTGACAATTGCTTTGTGTTTGGGTGAAAAGTGATTAACTGATGAAAAAAAGGACACAATTTCTGGGGTTTTCCCTTGCTTAGTGTCACTTTCAGAATGGGAGTGAGCAGAAGAAGGTCTCCTGTAGACCAGAGGTTCCCAGCCTTGGGTAACCCAGGTTTTCTTGGACTGCAACTCCCAGAAACCCCAGTCAGCACAGCTGGTGGTGAAGGCTTCTGGGAATTGCAGTCCAAGTATACCTGGGTTACCCAAGGTTGGGAATCATTGCTGTAGACCATCCTGACTGCTGACATTGGTGTCAACATTCAAGCTGCCCTTTGTACTGTATGTTGTCCAGTCTTCAGTGGAGGAGAAGGGCAAGGCTAACCCATGCAGTGAGTGATCTGTATTCCAAAATTTTGTCACAGGTCTGATTTACAGTTCCTTGTTGTTACACATTCCACTTGAAATGATTTGTTAACTGTACCTCTGTCTGTCTTTGTACCTGTTTTTTTTTCCTTCATTCTTCATCTACATACACTGAAGGCTCTCACTAAAGGCTTGAATTCATACTTTGAAAAAGATTATGAAAGACGTTGGGCATAGGAGTGTTTCTCTTTCAGGCTACATGCAGCCTATCTCCTTATGCTCCTCGACCGATTTGGAAAGAGGGACTATGATGCTATGTGCTGATGGCTATTTCCGTACCTGTCCAAGCTTACACGTGTGTTTTCGAACCCGTGTTTGCGACAGGACTACGATGCTATGTGCTGATGGCTATTTCCGTACAATTGGAATCACCCTCCCCTGGGTCTCAATTACATGGAGAGAACCCTCTGTGCATAGAATCGCGCATGGGGCCATGCTCTTTTAGAGGTCATAAAACAAGAGTTGTGAACACATGGCCCTCCCGATGTCACTGGACTTCACCACCCAAAAGTCTTGGCTAGCACAGTCAATGTTAAGGGCTAAGGGTAGTTTCTGTAAGGCCAACAACATCTGAAGGGCCAGCCTTTCTCCACCCTTGTTATCATGTGTGAATGGAGGTGAGGAGTGTGTCAAGCATTAACACCCAGCTCCTGGGTTCATATTTATATCTATGTTTTGGAAAGCTTTGCCTTCTTATTCCTGCTCATCACAGGACTGCTGAAGACACAAAAGCCCACCGGGCTCCCTCCCCACTTCACCTAACTAAGCAGCTATAGAGAAAAGGCTGCTACCAAAAAAAGCACAAGGACCTAAACAAAAATAAAAGGGGGAAATTCTAATTTTGAATCAGCCAGGGGTTAGAATCGATAGCTGAGTTTTGGTGTCCTTGATTAAAAAGTTATTATGAGCTTTGGTATCCTTGGTTTAAAAGTTATTTTGACCATTGCTGACTTAAAAACATGAGCTACAAGTCATCACACAGTTGCTGTTTTTTGTTTTTTTTTAATAAGCCTCTCTTTTGTGTTTTCCCTCCAACAGTCTGAAATTAGGGCGGTGAAACCTTTTCCCTCACCTTTTATCCGCCATCCCTCCCACACCGTAGTCTATTGTGAAAGGGACAGAAACAAGACAATAAAAATGTGGGCAACCAGCTTATTTTTAGTCAGCCACAAAAGCAGGACTTTTACCAGTTTGCTGGCGAGACTGAACAATAGTTGATTAAGAGGCTGAAGTGTTTAGTTATGAGATCCCTTGCATCTGCCTTTTTCTGTGAACACAGCAAGGATTCAGAAACTGACATTTACAGAAAGTGGCAAGCTTACTCACAAGTAAGTTCCACTGAGTTTGATAGGGATTACTTCCAAGTAAGTGCATATAGGATTGCCAGCATGTGTGGAACAGAAGGCTGTATCTTCCAGCATAAAGCAACTATATCTTTTGAAATAATAATTCACCTTTTAATGTTTTATTTTAAACTAACTTCTTTCCAGAAAGGTAAAATGAACTTCTCCAGTCCATTCAAAGGACAACAAAGAGAGAGAGAGAAAAATTCTCCTGCTCTTAAACAGAGAAGTCTCATACTTTGCTTTGATAAAGAAAGCAGCCCTTTTAGACAGAATATGTGGGTCACCTACCCCAACACCACTGAGACCGCGGAATAATAAAAGCACTCACAAATCTTTTCTTTCCAGCTGGATCCAAATGGATTAGATAAGCAGCATTACAAATGTCTGAACAGAAAGATAAAGTGTGGGGTGGAGAAGGAGAAACAAAATAAAAGCAACTTACCTTGAAGGAAGAACAGGGGCACATAGGCACACAAAGAGAAAGTGAAGTAAAGAACCCCCCACCATTTCTGCGAAAGCATCTTCTGAAGCAGACGGTGGGATCTCTCAAGTAAGAAAAGCAATGTGCTTTGAGAAAAACCCACACGCAAACACAAAAGACAGGGAGGTGAATAAGACCCTTGGATCTTAAGCGCTGCTGCAGTGACTCTTTCAGCTTTGCATCCAGCGCTGCAGCCACCTCCAGCAGAGGCGAGCGTGGAAATCCTGTACCATCATTTGGAGAAGCAAAAAGGAGAGAAGAAAGGAAATCCTCCAGAGATGGAAGAGTTTTACTGCCTGCCAATTAAGGGAAAGCAAAATGGACTGACATCAGGGGATGCCTCACGTTTCACAAGCGTGCATGCGAGGGGGGCACAGCTAAAGGAGAGAAAAGCGCTGCACAACAGAAAGGCTGGACAGGCAGGAGAGCATACCAAGTCATGCTCACAGACCTGTGTGCAGCACTGCGGTGTTGATCTGGCTCCCCCCTTTCAAACTCTTCTGGTGTTCATTGTGCCTGCAGAGACATTATTGTGTGCCCTGGGTGGGTTGTGGCATAGTCGCCCCCTTGGTGACCGACTTAACTCTGGCGCTCCAGTCTGGCACTGAAAGCTTGAAATGCCAAAAGTTAAGCTTCTCCTGTTCAGGGACATCAAAGGATGGAAAACCTCACGCCTGTTTTAATATCTACCGTACATGTCAACTTTATTTGGGGGGAAAAATATGGCAGCCATACACCAAATACCTCCATGCAAGGCTATGGGTTTCTTGTTCATTATATGGACGGATGTTCACTTCACTGATCTTCACTGTTGGGTTATCATCTGACTGATCTGTGGACTTTTTCATTTCAACAGGATCATCATAGGATGACTTCCATGAGGGCCGGCGTGTTGTATCATAAGGGTGGACAACTTGTAGCCTCAGAGAGGCATGCAGCCTTTGGCCTAATTTTGAAAACCCACTTCAGGCGAGCGGTTCAGATCTCTTGGGAAAAAAATGATATCTCACTCTCCTGGCAGCTTGTGGGATGGGGAAGTGGGGAGGATGGAGAAAAATAGGCGAAAGAGAGAAAAAGGGTAGTACAAAGGGGGAGAGAGGGAGGGGTCTGGCTTTAGCCACTTTTGGCTTTCTTACACGACACCTGCAGTCTTCAGCCCTGCCTGCCGGCAGCATGCAGCCTCAGGAGAATATTGGGTTAAAATATGGATGTCTATATAGGCTGGGGTAGTGGCGGCAGGATACTGAAGTGGTGGGCTCCATCTCCTGCAACCTATACTGTATGTGTTTGTCTCAACACCTGAACAGGGGGGACATCAAGACCAGGCTTTGATTCAGAGGCCGAGGGACCTGTGTAGCAGAGTGAACAGGAGGGTTTCTGGATTCAGAAGGGATTAGTATACCACAAGTAAGTGAAATGGCACAGAACACATTATCAGCTAAAGTCAGAGATGGATGTAAGACTATTATGTCTGGAGTCTGAAATTGCCTGGCTACAGGACTGCATCTGAAATAAGAGTGAGGAGACCTTTCTGTGCATTCAGGCTTGTAACAGGCATTGAGATGTTCTCTCTCTCTCTCTCTCTCTCTCTCTCTGCGTTTGCATGCATGCTTGCGTGCATGCACAGAGTCTCCCATTACAGTCCTGTACAGTTCATTTCCACACAGACTATCTAGCTGGAAAGTCTCAGCCACACTACCTGTAATATAGGGGTGATAAATGCTGGTCTCACTTACTGAAATGATGCTCATAGCACACTTAGAAAAATACTAGATATGATTCTTCTTGCACACGTGAATAAGCCCTGGCAGATTAAGATTGGCAGTCAGTCAGTTAGTCAGGCAGAGACTACAGACAGAAGTGGCATCTTATTTTATATTACCACAAGTGCAGTATTAGGGCTCAATTTGTACTTTCAGTTGCTAGTCTTTAAGAGCTTGTTTACATCTTCAAAGCCCTGCATCTGGAGGGGGGCAGTCAGGAAGCACTCTTTACATGAAGAGCTGTGAGAGCTTGTGCCTCCGTCGATAGGCCAGTCTCATTGTTATGAGACCATGAAATTATTTTTTACCTATGATTATCTTGCAGGTATGTGGAGTGGAATGTGATTCTCACCAAAGGCACCCATTGTATTAGTGTTGCACCATGGGTGTGCAAGACAGTAGGAGCTCAAGGTGGCTACTGTGCCCTCCCTACCATGACACTACCCTTCATCTATAATGGGCCAGCCCAGTCACATAAAGTGAAGATGGCTGCCTTCCACAAAGTCAGCCTGGCCCCAATGCCTTCCTCAGAGCAAGGGACTGTGGGCAGAAAATGCCCTTGAAGACTGTGCCTCCCACAGCAGCCCTGGAGATCTACCAGGGCATTTAATCCACAATGCCTGGAACTGAGGACCCCTCAGATCAAGACACCTGGAGCCTGGTCTGCTCAGGAGAGCCCAATGGCAGCCATGTCTCTACTATAACATTGCCACAACAGGAGAGAAGCTGGCATTGCTCTCCACAGTTATTGTTGTTGTTACATGCTATCAAGTTACTTCCCATTGATGGTGGCCCTATGAATTGGTGCTCCAGAAAAGGCCCTGTCACTAATAGCCTTGCTCAGGTCTTGCAAACTCAACGCTGTGGCTCCTAGGAGCCACCAATGCCCATTCTGGAGAACCAAACTGCCCAACTCATGGTTGACCACGCTTTCCAGAGTGATGACAGGAGCTCAACCCCTCAGGAAGGGCTGTGCGTTTATTTGACTGATTACCTTTTATGGTCTGCCACTTGAAAGGAGTGTCTCACTCTACCTAAGGAGAGGTTCAGTTGTGGACTTCTGTCTAGGTAGTGTTCATTTGAGTAAGCAGCGCTCTAGAATCATTCATTTATAACTCCACATGGAGGTGACATTGGCAGCTGCAGTAGCAACATAGGTGACCAAAGCTGCCTAGAAATAAAAGCTGCCATCATCCTGCCCATTCTTAGCCTGATAAGTGGAAGCATCCATTGTCATGGACCTGGATCCAGTATTCCTTCTAGAAAAGCATTATATGATTTAACATTAATGATTGCCCTGTTTGGGGTTCCATTTTTGAAGCCCAGGCCAGGTTATGCTTGGGCAGACACTTTCTTAAAAAACCCAAACCAAGGTATGAGGCAGGGAAGTACTCAGAAAAAATTACTTCTTTGGGATTCTGTTCCCCCAACCCCCTAGAGAGCAGAGCCACTGGCTAGACGAGCTGGGGTTTTCTGTGAGCAGAAATCCCCCAAAAAAGTGACTTTGCTAAGCTGTGCAACTGAGCTCTCAAGTCATGATGGGAACTCCTTTGGCTTTAAGTTGGAGGCGTGTTCTGCTTTAAGAAACATCCTGCAGGTCACTAAGCAGGACAAGGTAGTTTTGAAAGAAGACTGTGCTGTCCCTGGGAAGCCTGCAGCTGTTAACTGTCCTGCCTGCACAATTGTTATTACACTAATCCATAATCAGAGAAACCAAAGCATCGTTCTGCTGTGCGTTATGTAAGCACAGAGCAGCTGGGGCTATAACCTCTAATAGCCGAGGGTTACAGCAAAACAAACAGAGCTAAAGCTGTGTGAATGAGAAAAGGCAATCCAGGTAATCCATATATTCATCATAAAGAGCTTTGCCAGTGTAGCCCTGCATTCTGGCATGCCACCTCAACCATCCCAGGTTATTATTTCGGACTGTAGCCCCCAGAATACTGCAGGTAGAGCTCGAAAAAGTTACTTTTTAGACAACTCCTAGAATCTTTCATTGTAGCTGGCGGATTCGAAGAACTGCAATTGAAACATGTAACTTCCAATCTGTGGTTCATATTTGTTATTATGATGTGTCACATCTTCCATCCTTTCACCAAGGAGCCTAAGGTGGCACACAATACAACTAGCAGAGGCTATACTGGCCAGGACTGACAGGACCCGTGGACCAAAAAACATCTGGAGGGTCAGATTTGCTCGCTCCTCTTGTTGCAACAACCCTAGCAGTCACATATTAGAGACGTAATAGCGGACCTTTGAGATCTTCTGGATGGGGGAGAGTTCTGTGTGTGGACTCTTTCACATCTGAAAATTGCTGCTGCCAATCCTGCTGCCAAAATTGGGTGACTTTCAGATATTAAAGTCTCACCCCACTCTGTATCATGAGGCTGTCAGTCTTTCACAGGTCAAAAAGGATCCATAAGGAGCCTTATAATCTGAGAAGAGTATAGGAAGCATTGCATTGCATTGCATTGCATTGAACTCCATTGAACTGCATTGAAAAGTAATGTTGTGGCCTGATGACATCACCATTTATGCCCATGTAGTTACTCAACAGGATTTCAGCTAAAGACCACAACACATTAATGATTCAGGATTTGAACTCACATCTCCCTGTCCCTGTGTCAATTTCCTACTGAATGTACAATATTCTCACTCAAATACTACACTAAATGGCTTAATCCTTGTTTGTTTGTTTGCTTGTTTCAGTTTTATATACTGCACCTGCTAGTGCCACAGCAGTAGTCTGTGCGGTTCACTTAATTTAGAGAAATAGTTAATATGATCAAACCATAATATCTAACAATGTAAGACACAGAAGGTGCCACAGCATTAATAAAAACTGTGGAAAAGCAAAAAATAACAAGGATACAAACAGGAAATAGTTTATGGGAGATGTAAAAATACCTTGGCTCAACTAGGGCTGGAATGGAAGGCCTCCATAAAGAACCATGTCTTTAGTTGCCTCTTAAATGTTGCGAAACGCCTCTAGGAGCTGATTCCACAACAATGGAGCCACACTAAGAAGGTCCTACCTCTTGTAGAAGATCTACGGACCTCCCTTGTGGAGGCTACCTGGATTAGCCTTTTCTGGTATGACCTGATGGATTGGGCAGTTGACAATGAGGCAAGACACTCTGACAAGTAACATGGGCTGAAACTATGGGGGACTTTGTACGTGAAAGTCAAAGCCTTTAACTTGATCTGGGACTCCATGGGAAACCAGTGGAGGCAAGCCAGAACTGGGGTGATGTGATCATATCTGCTTGCCCCCAATCACCAATCTGGCTGCTGCATTCTGGACCCATTGGAGTCTCCAGACCAGTCTCAAGGAAAGCTCCACATAGAGATCATTGCAATAGTTGATCTGGGAAATGACCAGTGACTGCACCAAAGTCCTGAGGAAGCTGTCGTCCAGGTGAAAGCGGAGTTGGG